GGCGAAGAATTTGTTCATGAGACTGGTATCATAACCCTCCATCACAACGCAGAGCGAAATGACGAAAGAAAAGACGATAGCCTTCCACCAGAACCTCAAGGACTGTCGGACGGACATGTTGTGCTCATTGTTGATAGCGGCGTTGGTGTCGTCTCCGGTGTTGTGTCCTTGCGTAGAGGTGACCCTTTCGGCGGCCACATGGCCAGTAGTCTTCTCTACTGAAGCCATATCGAATTGAATCCAGAGTGTGCCCGGTATCAAAGATGGGTCTTCGGTGTTGATGGGTTGAGAAGATGCAGGTCAACCACAGGTATGGATCTGCGGTCTATATAGTCCCCAGCGCTGTGGTATGCATGCCTGACAGACGAACCCATTACAGGAGTCAAATGGCTAGCCCGAGAGCTTGGGAAGCTAAGCCCCGGTAATGACCGAAATGGGGCAAGACCGCGGTGAGTTGCGGGGAAAGACATTCAGAACAAGAGTGCCCATGGGGAGACGAGGCGTCAAGTGCGCAAATGAAGCCAATCAGAACCCCGACGAGGTTTGCCCGGGCACCAGATCGCGAGAGAACTTCAAGAAAGCTTTCCTCGAAGTTTTCCGCCGCTAACATTGTCACTTGGCGGACCCGTCCCGGCTCTAGTGTTGCAAAGAAAGCCAGGGCCCAGAAGTAGGACTTGCAGCAACCCTTCTCTTCTCCCGAGGTCATTATACGCTATAACATAAAACATAAGCTCTCATAAGACGACGGAAGTAACGTAGGTAATGCTCTGAGTAGGACAAAATCCTCGATTGAGCCTACCAGAATGTTTTTGTTGTTGTTTTGTGAGAACTGCCCGCTGTCAGCCCGAGCGTGTTTCCAACTTCCGATGTCACGCTAGCCGAGGCAATGTGTCTGCACGAGCCATGCAGACCCGCCTTTTAACCCGTGGCGTTGAGTTTTCCACGTGAGGTTTCCGCTCTCATCCTCCTGCATTCCATCCCCAGGTTCTTGCGCAAGTCCGTCAAGCTATGCGCAAACCATCTGCCTGCCAAGCGTGCCGGTAAGCATCTTGCACCTTGTCAGTAGAGGCGATTGCCCGCTAATTCGGTTGGAAGAACCCGACGCCGAAAATGCATCTACCCAACAGGCGGGCTCGCAACGGCATGCGAATATTGCTTGTCACATGGTCTGCAGTGTCTCCAAGGCCCACCAGAGGGAGGTTACTATGCCAAACGCCGGGCTAGACTTCAAGAATTGAGTCAGGTACATCGAGCGTCCTTAGAACAAGCGGAAGCACTACCAAATCAAGGTCATGGCGATCTGCCTCCGACTGCCTTGAGACGAGCGCTGGTGGAGCTATACTTCGACTACATCCACGACCAGTTCCACTCCATGTACCATAAGGTTTCGTTCATGGACGATGTCGTAAACAACCGAGTACCGTCTATCGTGCTTTTCGCGATATGTGCGCTGGCTGCCAGGTTCTCTACCGACAGCTTCTTCGACGGAACTGATCCGAGAGAAAGAAGCGAGGTCTACCGCAAGGCAAGCGAGAGTTTGTTCAATATGCGCGACCTCACGCCTACCACAATTCAAGCATGCGTTTTACTGGGCGCATATGCTGCTGCGGGTGGTGAGACTGATGTCGAAAACATGTACTACAGCATGGGTGGACGACTTTGCCTGGCCCTCGATCTACCAAATCGACCCGTCACAAGTCTGGTAGAGCGCGAAGTCAACATCAGAACTTGGTGGACACTGTGCATGGTTGACGTTTGGTCATCTACTGCGGTGAGACTACCGCGAATCATGCCGTTTGACACTGCTGTGCCTCTTCCAATTGATGAGATACCGTTCTCTATGATGAACGACGGGGCTATCAGCGACCAAACGCATGGCATCACCTCACCTCTTCTCGCGGAGATGATCAAGCTCAATCGGATTCTGGCGAGGATCATCGACTTCAATCGACTGTGCGTGTCAGAACATCTCGAAGGCCTACCGCTGGAGAAAGGGATACGTGAACTTTCCCGCGATCTCGATATCTGGTTGGAGGAAGTCCCGCACCATATGCGTGACACGCCAGCGAACCTGACAGCCTTCGCGTCGCGTGGCCTTGGGCGTATGTTTGTAGCTGTGTATCTCGGCTACTACCACTACGGACTGCTCCTGAACTATCAATTCTTGTCATCTTCAATCGAAGCATCACCCGACTCCGGACGATATGCTGATGCCTGCAAGCAACATGCCGCCCGACTTTGCGCCCTCGTCTACCGCTCACAGTCCACGCCTGGGAGCGAAGTCTTGTATCCGGCAGTTTCGCATATCCTTGTCGTTGCTTCCACCGTTCAAATCCACACCTTACTCTTTTCCGGTGACGAAAGCCAGATACGCATCTCAAAGACCAGATTGGAACGCAACTTCGAGATACTCCTGCGGCTGAAGACCTATTGGCCGAGTGTCGACGGTGCAATGAGTCGTCTTCGGGCGTTCCACCAGACCTGTCTCCGAAGCAAAGAGACCAGCTTTGTGCTTGATCGGTGGCTGTTGCGCTTCCTGGTCCAATTTGCCCCTCATATGGAGCTCGAGCCAAGGGATAACGACCCCGAGTACGAAGCGTTGCTCGCATTGAGCAGGCAATCCCCATTGTCGTGCTATTCAGGCCTGTCCATGTGATCATGCGCGACTGAGATTCTAAGCAGCATGCTGGGGAACCTGGAAACGAGGACGGCAGCGAAGTGGTTCATTACGGCTCAAGCGTGATGGTGGAGCCGAGACTAGCGTCGCGAAACTTACGAGCTTTCCTGGAGTGTGGAGCCCCAAGAGAGCCAGGGCTTGGCGACAGGGTCCGTCACTCACGTTTGCGGTCCACTCGAAGTAGTACACACGTGTAAAGCTGTTTAAGAGTCTGTATTGTGCTTCTTTGCTTGAAGCAAGAATCAACTTCGCACTCAAGTCATGGCTCTATCACGCAGCACCATTCTCGTGGTCACGACGCTGCTGGGCAGCGCGACAGCGATCAACAATGGCCTCGCTACTACCCCACCAATGGGCTGGGTAAGATATTCGTATCCTACTCCTGAGTTATCATTAACAAGATCAGAACAACTGGAACGCTTTTGGATGCGACGTCTCCGAAGACCTTCTCCTTACAACCTCCGCACAGATCGTGAGCTTAGGCTTGCGAGACTTGGGCTACAACTATGTCGTACTAGACGACTGTTGGCAGAACCCAAAGGGTCGAGACAAGAAGGGAAAGCTTCAACCGGCGCTCGACAAGTTCCCCAACGGTCTGAAATCTATCTCAGATCATCTCCATAGCCAAGACTTCAAGTTTGGCATGTACAGCAGCGCTGGTGAAATGACATGTGCGAGATTTGGTAAGATGAATCAAATAAACATACCTCTTGCATCAAACTAACTCAAAGTAGAGGGCTCGCTAGACCACGAGGTCGACGATGCAGAAAGTTTTGCAAGCTGGGGTGTCGATATGTTGAAGTACGACAGCTGCTACCACATGGGTCGTGTTGGCACACCTTCGGTCTCATTCAACCGCTTCAAAGTCATGTCAGATGCTTTGAAATCAACAGGAAGGAACATTCTCCTCAATCTGTGCAACTGGGGAGAGGATCTTGTCCACACAGTAAGCACCATGAGATACCTGTCCGCTACGACGTTCAAGGACTTACCATCACCAGTGGGGTATGAGTATCTCCAACAGCTGGCGCATTACAGGCGACATCTACGACTCTTTCTCTCGTCCTGATGATTTATGCGGATGCAACACCGTATCACCGGGCGACGTCAACTGCGTAGCACCCGGCACACATTGCTCCGTTCTTTTCATTCTCAACAAAGTCGCGCCCTTTGCCGATCGCAGTATTCCTGGTGGATGGAGCGATCTGGACATGCTCGAGGTCGGCCAAGGCGGTATGACTGACGAAGAGTACAAAGCACATTTCGCTCTCTGGGCCGCCATCAAGTCTCCGTTATTCCTCGGAAACGACCTGCGCAACATGCCAGCTTCCGCTCTCACCATCATCAATAATCCAGCCATTATTGCGCTGAGCCAGGATCCCCATGGACGTAGCGTAACGCGTGTTCGAAGGGATACGGAAGGTGTAGCGAAAGACGAGTGGGGTATGGGTGAGACGCACGTGTGGGCAGGTCATCTCCAGAACGGCGATGAAGTCGTGATCTTCCTCAACGCTGGTGGCGAAGACATGGAGATGAGCGTCTCTCTCGCTGAGATATTCATTCCATACGGACCTGGTGGATCAGCGCCCCACGTCAAATACGACTGGGCGATCCACGACCTCTGGGCCCATCGCATGCCCGAAGCGACGGCGGAAGAGCTCCTCGCAGCGGCGTCTCACACCGATCGAGAATCGATTTTGTCAAAGGCTAATTGGTACAACGCCACCGAGACCCCTTACGCCAAGGGCCTCGTTCAGGAGGACCCGCGACTCTTTGGCGAGAAGATCGGCGTTGTTGAGGCTGGTGGTAGGCTCAAGGCAGACGTCAAGAGTCACGCTGCTCGCGTCTTCCGACTGAGACGAATCGCGCCAGAGGACGATCAGTTCGAGGCGAAGAGTATTGCGAGAGAAGATGGTAACGAGAGGGATGAATTGTAATGACGAAGCGATTACTAAGGTAGATCTGGTGAGACAAGAGATAGGCCGCCCCGATAGAGATTATGGAGCAACGCGGGTTTTTAAAGTTGCGTAACTTCTCATTCGCAATAAATCGTGTTGATTGTGGAAGGGGTGGTTGGTTCGTCATCTCCAGGCTATCACAGTACCATGGAATGGAGTGGATGCAACCCGAGTATGGACTCCTGAATTTTTCGAATATATAGCGATCTTGCTCTCCCTCCTTCCTACACATCTCAACTCTTACATAGGCTGTCTCTGTGTTCTGTATCACACAGCGCAAACGAATCTACACCAGACGCAACCATGACCAAAAACGCAAAGGTCATATCCCCGGCTCAAGCCACATCCGCAACCCAGACGACATCATGGGAATGGTCAGCTCCATACTTCGTTAAGCGAGCGCAGGAAGTTCAGGCCAGATTAGATCTCCAACGGCAGACTATGAATGATCTTCTGGGCCATAATAAGAACCTTCAGGACCAGAAGGAGAAGCTTCAGGACCAGAATAAAAACCAGAAGAAGGATCACGAACGCGAGTTGAACACATGTATCGGAACGTTTATTGTCGTTTTGCTCACTTTCGCCGCCTTCATGATATGTGGCTTTCTGCCATCTTCTTCGTCCGAACGCTGTTCATGTGCGCTAGAAGCGAAAGCTGTCCAGATGACGGCCACGCCTACTACGGTCACGGTCACGCTACCGGTAGCCACGCCTACTATAGTCACAGTCACGCTACCGGTAGCAACCAACGCCGTGCCGACGATCAAAGCCGCCTCATCGACCCATGCTGCAACATCGACTGAACCGGTAAGTTTTATCCCCAAGTCGTACTTTCTACACAAGACTGCAGTATACTAATGCCTTGAATAGTTCTGGTCTACCTTGACTCGCGAACAGATAAGATCCGTCGTCCACGATTATCGCAAGATTGAAGATCGATATCTATACGAAGATAAGGGTTGGCAACAAGAAGAAGAGGCGAAGCAGAAGGAAATAAAGGCGCAGCTGGAAGCCGACTTTAAAAAAGGTTTTGCGCAGTGGGAGGAGAGAGTGAAACAAATATACCAGCGCAACCAAGACGCTCAAGAAGAATTCCTGAAACAAGCCCTGAAATAGGCTGAAGAGCAAGCTCGGCGTAAGCGGGGGTTGTCCGGATTCCGAAGGTGGATGGGCTGAGAACACCATCTCCGACACACACACACACACGGCATATTATCGACTCGGACCTCTATACAGAGCAGCACAATTCTGCTAGATAGGCTCGCCCTCAGGATGTAGTGGTTATGTCTCAGAACCGGTCTTGAGAGCTCGAGAAGACAGGTCAGTGTCGACGTCGTTGTGGAGAAACGCTAGAGCCAGACACCCACAAAGAAACCGTAGCACCGCAGTTTGATTTGCACAAGTTCAATATGAGTATACGTGATATTTTACTCGATGAAACTGTTCGACAGCAGTGTTGTGAATGCTCCCAGGGTTGGCCTTGCCAAGTGTCTCACCTCGTTTCCCCAGCATCGTATGCCTCTAAATTAATCTCGCACTCGCCCAGCTTGCACGTGATCTCGCTTTATAGTCTACACAAGACGACTTCCTATCGGCAAGATCAAACCAACAACACCACGAATTCTCTTCGGTAACATCCCATTCTTATTTACTACATATTCATGTCTATCCCCATCTTCACCATCTCGATCTCCATCATGAACAATCTCCTATCTTCCCCAGCACACTACCTTAGGCGGATCAGCTGCCCTGTTCTCCCAGCTTACCGCATGGATGACCTGAAAGAGCGCGAGCCGTCAAGGGCAGGGGACCTATACACAGCAGAGATCGGTCAGACAGTCAACACCATCAACCATCAGAGAAACGCGGTCAAGTTGATCATGGCGAGATGGCCCGCCGTAGACCCAGTTCACTACCCAACTATTCTGGGCGTGAGCCAAAACAACAGTAAGAGTGAGGACGTAAAGGCTGTAGTCAGCATGGTGAACATCATGCAGACCAGCTGGATCGGCCAGTCCTCTTGGGTCCAAGGCTACATCAAGGGAGAGACTGATTGGCACGATCTCCAAGCCCATATCAACAATCTCAACCGATTTCGACTCCTGCTCAAGGTACCACAGGAAAATGAGACTCCCGTGCAGAGGACCGCCCGCCGAGCTCTACAGCGCGCATACAAGGAGGTAGTCAGGATTCATATCGAGCACACCCAGGCGGGTGATCTCCAAGCCTACATCAGTAACCTGAGTCGTATAAGTGCGACCTTGGAATGACTGAGCTCGGTGCCTACAATACGGTTAGATCTTAGCGAATGAGATTTCTTAAGAGAGGCGGAGGCCTACGAGCGGATGCTTAGAGTCTAAATGAATAACATTAGAGACCTAGAGGAATACGATGCGGTTGGTGTGTAACAGAGTGATATCCCAAAGTGGACTCTGGCTACTACAAAACCACCTACGTTGTTCAGAGCCCGCGACAGGCAAAAAGCCGGGAGGCTCGAGCATACGATCAAGAAGGTTGTCGACACTGTCAATACTATGCCGACACATAAGATGACGGACCCAGACAAGCGAGAGCCTGTGAGAACTGCTAACGAGTGGCAGAATCTCTAAGGAAATCAGCCTAACAACACCAAAGTACAGCGTGACACAATGAATCTCGTTACGGCAAGGTACTCGCAGGTCGATCCGATACATTACAGCACAGTTCTCGGAGGCGGGCAGGCGAATGCCGGACAACTCGAGAGTGCCATCAAAAAATCCGTAGATACCATTACCTCTAACTGGATTGGAACTCCCTCGTGGCTTCAAGCTTTTGTCGAGGGCGAGACATGCTGCTCGGACTATCAAGTTATCATTAACAACCTCCACCGCATGTCAAAGCTCTTGAAGCTGATCCCGGAGGGCGAGACGCCTAAGAATCGCGCATTACGCCTCACGCGCCGCGAAGCGTACAAGAAAGCTCTGCGCGCCCATCAAGAACACGTCCGTCTTGGGGTAGAGGCAGAAATTCAGACAGCAGAGGATGCGATAGAAGACTTGTCCACAAAGGACGGCGTGACCCAAGTCAAGCTTCAGGGCGCTCGGGACGAACTCCCTTTCCTGCGGGGTGACCGAGAGGGTATGAGACCTACGGCCCGCCCAGCATCTCTAGCTGATTCGGATGTTGAGGCAGCGGCGTCCCCATCGCTCGCTGTGCCCTTCGCCAGAGGGACGAGAAAGCGATCCGAAGTCACATAGGCACAACCACCCAGAAGCGGCAGCGAAGCTCGGTGGTGCCGAAGCAGCACTAGGAACTTCGGCGCTCAATGGCGGCGTAACTCATGTCAAATGAGACGATGCCGTACTGAGAACCATGTACCGCACGAACCCCCTCTGACTCGCAGACCTCGTATCCCAGTACACCTTAGAACCTCTGAAGGCGACACCCGTTTGCCAGAGCTCAGCGATCAAGTCTCTCGTTCGAAGCTCGCTTGACTTCCCCGACAACAAGGCTCTCGCCTATGCAGAGTTTAAGTGCGCTGATTCCATCCTCTACCTAGGTATCCTCCAGAACACGCAAACCCACCCGGTTCTCACATGATTCTGTGGGTCCAGGGTGCCCCAAGCCAGAAGATGCGGACTAGGAAGTGGGCGAGAGAGAGCGATGTTGATGAGGAAGAAGGACGTGGTATGGCGGATTTCTTACGTGACGGGGAGTGAGGGGTTGGAATGGAAGTGTGTGCGACTTCCAGGGCGTAGGGAGGAAGTCGCGCTTGCCGGGGAGTACAGATTGTTCCGTGCAAGCCTAGTGAGCGAGATAGCGTAGGAGGCTGGCCTGGAGGAGAGCGCGGATACTACTCTCATCCAGTGAGAGGCCGACATCTCACTAGTGAAGTCTCCAGGCGGCAGGCTCAGGTAAGCTAGAAGCCGACAAAGCCTTAGTGACGCCTTGTACAGCTTATCTCATCGGACCGTGAGGACGACGTAGCCCTTTAGCTCTCTCACAAGATCCGATACAAGCAAGTGCGCAGCCGACAACTCCTCAGTGACACTCTATCGCTTTTGGCACCTCACATCCTGAAAGCGACGTAGCACTCACCGAAGAGGTACAAGCTTGCTTCTATTCGTCAACTCCTTCCGACCATGATATCGGGCATGGCTCCAGTGTTCACTACTCTCAACATCACTCGACGCTCGCCCTATCTCCGAGCCCTTCACCATTCAGGGCGAGCTCGCGGCAACATGAGGTAACCTTGATCGTCGTGAAGGAGGGGGCAAGGTACCAGAGGGCAATCGCCGTTCTTGTACTTCCTTAATGGAAAGGACACCCGCGATCTTCTGCAGAGTTATCTGGCTACGACGAAACCGCTTGCTGTACTTGCTTACAGCGACAAGGTCAGTTAGACTTCGTTACAACCATTCACGCGCGCACTGTATGCTTGCCGCTCGGCGATGATATCTCAAACCACCCCGCTCAACATCATTGTTGCCTCCACGCACCCTCGTAAGATTCCAACACCACTCGTATCCATTCGAAGTCTTCTTCCGCCGCATTAACTACTCGCCGTAGCTTAGTCGATCAGTTTCACTTCACAACACCCCTCGCGACAAAGGACTCAGGCCGGATCTACCAGATTACTTCCCGAACAAGCTCATGCTATCTGCCGCTATACAAGACTCGCCTTGCTACGACCTGCTACGACTTGCACCCTCACCTCGGTGAACTACCACTAAGCCGCCGCCATCCAGCAGTGACGCCTTTGCTGCCTTCTTGTTGCTAGCTGCCCCCTCGACTCGCAACTTAGTGAGAGTGTGGCAGAACGCCTCCTCTGTTAGATTTGCTATCTGGTTTTTCAGACGCTTGCTCACACTGCCTTAGTGCAACGTCAACTTGGCCTTCTTCTTCTTCTTCTTCTTCTTCTTCTTCTTCTTCTTCTTCTTCTTCTTCTTCTTCTTTCGGGTTTTCATGACGTACGCCTCGATAGAGTTTGGCAACTCATACGTCCATACAGTGACCTCTGAGTTCTGCGCGATCCTGTTCACTCGGGCGATCGCCTGCGCTTTAGCAGCACAAGACACATGCGACTTCGTTCGCGAATACCTACCGGCTGTGTTGAAGGACTCTCTCACTCAGGCGGCAGCCTGTGCCCCGGCGGCGGTGGTTTCTGGCTAGATGCGCCTGGCAGAGGGGCGGGACCTGTGCTGCCTGGATGAGTGTGAGGCCTCGGCCGCCGTCAGACGCCTCTGGTATACGTAATTGATCCTGGAGATGCTCATGAGAGTTCGGATGGCCGTTACAACTACAACGAGACTTCGCTTCGGTCAGACTCTCCATCTTTCTCCTCAACCGCTCACTCACCCCCTTCTGATCCAATGTCAAAGCAGCCTTCTTTTTCTTCCTCTTCCGCTCTTTCTTGACGTAGCGCTCGATTGAGTTGTGTGCATAAAACGTCCAGATAGTCACCTGACGGTTCTGGCCGATCCGGTTGATCCTCGAGGCGGCCTGGACATCAATGGCAGGGTTCCACCTTGGGGTCAGAATGAACATATTTATAGCCTCTACCAGGTTCAAGCCTAAACCAAAGCACTGAATGGTCGCTAGCATGACCCTGACTTTGTCTTTGGGGTCGTTGAATCACTCGCGCACAGCGTCCCTCTCCTTCAAGCTCATGTGGCCGTTGAATTCGAGGAATTCGATGCCCGTTGCTCTTAAGGCGTTGGACACAACTTCCAGAGTCTGGAGAAATTCATCAGTGATGATGATTTTCCCCTAGCTCTTGGCCCCGTGCAGGGAGAGAATCTGCTCGATCAGCTTGTCAATTCGTGTGGAGTGCCAATCCTTCTCTGTCTCCTTCAGCAGTTGCTTGCGGGACTCTTTCGCGGTCATGTCGATGTGAGCCTCCTCTTTGGTGAGGCTCTCCCACTCCTCCAAGTCGAGACCCAGACCACTATAGTCTTGGGCTCCTTGGTCTCCATACGTGAATTCACCGCATCTTGGGTGGACAGTCTTATCCTTGCCTTTAGGATCTTCGGCAGAGCACGCTTTCTCATCATCTTTTCTGAGGTTCTACCTCTCACACCCTCCTTCCTATTTCACAGTTGCTTGGTGTCCTTCTGATGAACAGACTCTTCGGGGGAGAGTGTCACCGGGGTATGGTTTTCGATAGCTCGCGAGAACTCGACCAACTGCTTCCCATCGAAGGTGTCGTCGATCCTCAGAGGGAAGACGCAAGCCCTCAGACTAGTCGAGAGAATCGCGTTGCGTTCTCCCTTCAACGTGCGTGCCTTGGACTTCTTCGGCCTCTTCGACGCGAAGTATTCGTTGAATACCTTCCGGTCGTTCCATGGCTTAATTTCCAGCCACTTCAACAAGGTCTGGACTTCGTCGTAGTCGTTTTCCAGGGGCGTTCCGGTCAGACCCAAGCGCTTTGACGTCTTAAGGGCGCACATCGCTTGCGATGTCTGCGAGCGTGACCGGCTCGCTTTGCCGATCTCACCTGCGATGACTGCCGCGTATCCTAAGACCATCAGAGGGTAGGTTCCCGAATTGTCCTGCAGCGCATGTCTACCCCGTGTCACAACAACTCCAAAACCTACATCTCCGTGAGCTATCGTAACAGAAGTAACTGGTTGCGAAGATACCTAGGTAATGCATATTGTCGACCTTGTATACCCTCCGTCCTCTTCTCTTCTCCCAGCGTCGTGACATCTTGTTATCGTCACAAATCAAGCTACATATCTGCCACATTCTTCTATCTACTCTTATTTATCAAATCACATTAGCACCCATTCGTCAAGATAGATCCACTACCTCCGGCACCGCACTACCATCTCCTTCTAGTAAAATGTCCGGTCGCACTCAACCGCAAAATGGACGACCTCAATGAACGTCAGGCTCTGAGAGCATCAGTAGAGTGGCAGACCCTCCAATCTGATGGGCCATACGGTCACGCATCCAGAAGCCGGAAGGACAGATTCTGCTGTCACACTTCGCACTGTCCGACCAAACGCCATCGAGAAGACTACATGCAGGGCTGACATGTATCACTGCGTCGGCGCAAGGGACCGCGGAGACAACGTTGTTTCTACACGGGGAGGATATAAATTACTCGCGCTATGCTAGAAACGATTGTGTTGTATCTTGTCTCTGTTGGTGGGATTGCAGGCGCTCTTGCGAGACGGCTTGTGAGTGGGTATGTAGAGGCGTGAAAACGGTTGTGTACGGTGTTGGTGGGAGATGACATGTCTGTGTGGTGCGCGCGTATTGCTCTATGAGAGTGCTCCGAGGAAAGAACGTGTCTGCTCAAGGCCGGTGTGGTAGATAGTTCGGATGCGTTGTATGTGGTATGTCTGCTTTACACTGCGGTAGTGGAAATCCATTACACTGGATCCCGCCTGGTCGTCACCACCTCCACTCATTGATAGTCTCAATCATACTCTTGAACTCCATCCTGTTCTCGGGGAAGTACCGGGGAATACTCGTAGAGGAAGACGAAAAGACGTCGAGGCCTCCCCGCTTCGCTCTCGCGTCGCGCGGCGAGAGCGATAAAGTCACCGTCGTCTCCCGGCAGACGCTTCACCCTACTTCTGTAGGCTTTCCAGCTCCTTTCTGGCACTGTCCCACATGTTTGATGTAACCTTCATTTTCTCCTGGTGTTCCTTTGGCATGAAGAGGTCTGTGAACGACCTCTGAATTTCAGCCTCCACCTCGCCAGCATCATCTGCACCCCCCTCGCCCGCTGCACCTCCATCGACCTCGCTCCCTACACTCTCGTCAATCTTGCTCTCCTCATCTTCATCACCATGAAGATATTTTTTCTGGAGTCGCAGCTCCTCTGCTCGTCTAACTCCCTCCATCTCTGCGGCAATTTCCTTGCGCGAATTGTCCTTCGCGAACCTCCACCAACCCCAGAAGCCGAAGACGCTCACCGTTGGTCCAAGGGTGCTCCTATACTCCGCCATTTCGCGTAGTAGTTGCTAGAAAACTCAGTAAAAGGCTTCGAAGGTAGGAATAATAAACTTGAACTTACGACTGGTGGCGCATGTTTCAGGCCTTTGCGGCCACGAAGGTCCTTGCCGACCCGTTCGAGATACTTATTTGAGAGTACCCCGCCTCTCATCCATGATCGGATGATGGAGTTGACGTCGATGAGCTTAATTTTCTTGTTGGGTGAGCTTGTGATCTCCCCGATCGTGACCTCCCTCTTCTTGCTAACGCTAGCGACGTCCATCTCTCCGAATGCGTTCATCCATTCTTGCTTGATAGCTTCCTTTCTCTTGCCTTTTGGGATACTGGCCCAGTTGTCATCGAAGACAATCTTTTCCCAAGAGAACGGCGTCTCGTTGAGGCCGACGTAGACCTTGCCGTATCCGCCGTCACCAACGCCCTTGTTGGCCCGCTGCACCCAGCGCATGGTCACCACCTCTTTGGCGGTATTGGTGCCGACCCTGATTAGTCGCTGATCTGGGTAGGTGACTGTCTGCATGATGTTTCGTGGATATTGATGAGTTTTTAGGTATCGATAGAAGAGTAAGGATGAGATTGTAAGAAAGAGAAACGGCATGGGCAGAGGTAGATTTGAAGAAGTCGCGTAGTCGCGTTCACGTTGAGGTAGGGGAGGGGCTGTATAGAAGCCTTCCCGCTGCCGTCTGAGCCTGAATTCTTCTCTTCCGTGCACCGACGTCGTCCTCCCGCTGCGTTGTGGTTTCCCACAACACCAACCATCTACCCACTAGACGTCTCCAGCCCCCTGTGAAAGGGCCGCATAGCCAGAAGAGGTTCGTTGTTAACTTCTCCCCGTCGTGGCAGAGACAGCAAAGACTTCTGGCACAGTCTCCAGGTTGTTAAGATCAAGGGCTGCGTATTTGCTGATGAGTTCCCGGAATGAGGCTGCTGAGAGATTATGGTTAATCAATGCCGGGCTGGACGTAATTAATGTGGAGAGGAAAGACGCGGGGATGCGGGTAGAGGGCGTCGACTTCCTCTTCCAAAACTAACAATGCCTCACGTCGAGTTCTCCACTAACAGATAGTTTGGCACGACTTCTTCAAATCTACCTAGGTATCTTATCACATGCCCTGCTTGTGTGTGGCTGAACCAAAATTCGACCCCAACCCTTTCACATAAGCGGTTATGCTATGGTAATGTGCGCATTTTGGGTGGGTGGTGTGGCAGTGTCAGCCATAGTTGCTCCCTTGGCAAAGCCTCGCACTTGCTCTACAAAACCCGCCGCGCTCCCCTCTTCTGGAATTCCACCTCACACGTTCCCGCCTATTGTATCTCGTCTCACAAACGCGCACTAGGTGCTAACGTAACGATCATGTACGATAAAGATGAGACCACCCCTCTTCTCCCTCTTGTTTCCTCGTCACCACCGTCATTCATCGGCATCCACAGATACGAGATGAAGGAAAAAATGAGCCCAACAACCCCCACCATGCCGGCCCTCTCGCCAGCCCTCTCACCTGCACCAGCAAGCCCAGACGCCACCCCGCCAACCACGACCGCCAATCCAACACCTACTTCATGGTTCGCACAGTTCCAACAGTTCTTCCGACCGACAGGCAATCCACGGTGGGCCAACCGGCTAGACAAGCCATCTCGAAGCGCTGAGCACCAGTTTGTAATCGACCACGATGATCAAATCAATCAGCAGACCAACCGGGCCTTTATGTTCTTATTGCTCAAAGCATTGATAGTGATCATACTATTCATTATGGCGGCCCGGCACCCCTGGGGCACGAGCTCCCCCACGCCACGTTCACGTACATATATAACTACGAGATCGAAGACAAAATGAGCACAACGGCCAATTCACCAGTCACCTCACCGGTACCGGCAGGTCCCACCCCTCCTGGCACGCCAACCTGGGCCCAAATCGTCAATCTCTTCACATCCACTCCAAGATGGGTCAACCCAGCCAACGGCGTACGCAGCGAAGAAGTTCAATCTCGCATGGACGAAGCAGGCCAAGCGGCGGCGCACGTACGCTGGCAAAGCACCAGAGCCATCATCATGCTCATCATCCAGGCCATCACTGTCGTCATCTGTGTCAGTTACGCAGCCCCGCTCTTCCAGACCTTCATCGACAACCACTCAATCGTCGCCAAGGACATGACCGCGAGAAGTTGATCGAAGAGATCCGGTTCTTTGTGTTCAAGCAGGTTATGAACGCAATCGACGCACAAAACAACTGCAACGTCAGTGACGCTGTGTTTCGACAGCAATGAGCTACATCAAACGGGCGGGCAGGCTGGGCATGGAAGTTACGTACAGATAGGAAGGGCACTGTTCAGGAAGCTGAGTCTGTTCGAGGCTGAGGACTATTGCATCAACTTGCAGGGCTAGCAGGTTATAGATTAGCAGAAAGCCTTATAGCAACCGTCGCTGCAAGCAACCAATGTCCTAATTTCGACCCCCGATCGAACTTATCTTGTGTACACCACGTATCTTTCCTAGTCTTGTATTAGTTAATACCCTTCTTGTACAAACGTATATGTAGTTCTCAACCCCCAGTATACCACATCTTGAACCATCATACGCGAGTGATGTCTCATCCTGCCCTACCTACCAAGTCCACAACGATCACGACTCGCAGTGTTGTTAGCACCTCGCCAGTGCATGAAGTCGAAGTACGCGTGGTATAAACGTGAAGTAGCAGTCATACCCCGATGTAATCTTATGTTCATTACTCTCCCCCATCCACCACTTCTCCCCCAGAAACCTCCATTCATGTCATAGGTACCAAACCTCGAAACTGTACAACCATCCAAACATCATCTCATAAATTGCCATTACTCATGCCCGCGCCCTTCCCCAAAAGCTCGCACAGCAAGCTCCTTCTATCACCCTCCATCATCCCAACATACCACGCCATCATCAACGCCGACCCCCCCTCTTCCCCTTCAACGGACTCTCCCCCTTTCCACTTTTACAAAACACGCAGACAAACACCCTAGGCAACCACTCCTCCTTCAATCCCACACAACCCATGTGCAACCACTTGAAGCAAGCTTCACACTGCACCATGAGCGTATCGGCATCATCGACCAACCCATCGCACACGCACCTCGTGCTATCATTACTCTTGCTACTGCATTCCGTCGAGGGCGTTGTAGTAGTCGTCGGCGAGCCGTTGAAGGAATTAGAGTAAGGGTCGTACGCGCCGTGCGACAGGGCTTGGTGAAGTTGGTTGTGTGATTGGGGAGGGTGGGAGGTGGACATATCAGCACTCGCCTGCGCCCACCGTTGGTTATGCGCGAGCAGTGTGTTTTGCGATGCGCGTTCTGAACTTGTCAGTCGAGAAAAAGGGAAGCGACAGGCTATGCTAGCGTACCGATGCGTTGTTGGCGGGCGCCGACGACTTTTTTCAAGGCGCCCAGTGCGTCGCCGGGGGAGTCGGGCATGTGTGTGTCTTCGGGGTCTCGTTCGCGGAGGCTGGGGCGCTCCATGGCGCTGGAGCGACGGATGGTGTTTTCGGCGGCGGCAGCGGCGGAGCGGCGGGTTGATCGTAGCGTTTCGAAAGAGGTCTTGGAGAGGGCGTCGGATGCGAGTCGGGAGGCGGAGACGGAGCGCGCCATCTTGAAGGAGTTGGCTCGTTCCAGTCCACCGCTGTCTGCTCGGGCGTGTTTCGTCGCTCGACGCTCGGGTTGGGGTATGACGAAAGATGGGTTGCGGCTGACGATTGGAGCTGGCTCGTCGTCGTCCGACTCGCTGTCTTGCTCTTCGTACAGTCCGGGGTATTGGCGTCGAAGATCTTGCTGCGAAGTCTGTCGTCTATTCCTGGGGGTCTCATCATCTCCAGTAGGTATCGTCTCTGTGCGAGCCGTCCCACTCTCGTCAATGATCAGCCGTGTACGGGGTCTTCTAATCTCGGGTATCGCTTTCAGTGATCCGCCGCTTTGACGCTTCAGTGGCGATGAGCGACGGGGAATCGTCGAAGCATTGGCTGGAATTGCTATCCGAGGGTCCATTGCTCTGGTTATTCTCGGCCCGCTATCGGTATTGCTTCGTTGCAGCACAGGTCTCGCGTTTTCCGCTGAACCCGACGACGAAGCTGTGTTGCTGCGTGAATGCTGACTCTTGGCCTTCTTCGCCATTGCCCTCTCATTCTCTGCATCCCGCAGTTGTGTCTCATACGGTTGTCTTGACATGTCGAGTATTGGCTGCTGCGGCATGCTTCCGAAGGAACCGGTCATATCGGGATTGGAGAAGCTGAGCAGCATATTTGGATCGACACCTGCAGCTGTATATACAAAAGAGCCATTTCTTGAGCCGTGTCTCTGCTGTGAGGGTGTATTCGCGAACGACGCTGGCATTGGAGAAGCTTGGAAACCCTGGAACGCTGGGGTTTGCATCATGTTAGCCGAAGGATGGTTCATTGCTTGCCAGTTCATGTCGTGCTGCGGTCTATGCGGGGTAGGACCGAAGGGGTCTACTCCCAGAGGCACATCTAGATCCATTTGCATGCCATCGTTCGCTGGGTCCCAGAACAGCTTCGACTGAGGCATGGGTGGCGCAGACATTGGACCACCGCTGGGAAACTGCATCATATGCGGAGTGTACTGCAGATCAGCGAAGCCAAACGGTGTCTGGTCAAACAGAGCTCCTGAGGATTCCGGCAGTTGGCTGGGCGTCCTGTGCACCACCGTAGCTGGTGTTGCCACCCCATGTCCACTTTGTTGCACACTCCTCCTAGAGGAAGCATCCCTCGTTGGAGGTGGCGTTTGCATCTGCGAAAAGTCCATGCTGACAGGACGAGAGCCGAACTGTCCCTGTGATCCAACCTTCCTCAGCTGATTAGGGCCCGGCGAGGACGACAGCCTTCGGGACACGTCGACCGGCGGAAGAGGTAGGTTTTGCGGTGCGAAGTGGTTGACATGGAACTCTGGGTCTTCGGGGGTGCGGACGGGTTGGCTGTACGAGCTCGACGGCCGGCCTATGGGCGTCGAGAGTGTGAAGGAAGGAGTCTGCACCGGGGTGTGCTGCCCATTAGGTCGTGGGGTGGCCCAGGCGTCGAGGAAGTGCGAGTGGGGAAACGACTCGGTCTTTGGTGTTTTGAGAGATCCGTCAGGGAACGTCAGCGACTTGGGAGTGGAGGAGGGACTTGGGAGATGCCAGTCCGTCGATCTAGCACGCGACCCACGTTAGCCTGGGGCACTTGCAGATGCGAGCCGAGACATGAGGAAAACCAAAAGTGAAATCTATCAACAGAACGGGAAGGAGCGGAGGAAGTCTAAAGAAAGGTATTCTTGGGATAGCATGGCAAGGGATGATGGCAACGAGCTCCAAGTGACAACCGTGCGGTGCTGCCTGACCTCTGCCTACCCTAGACCTGGATTGGGACATAGTCTGGTCCGACATGACATGAAGCCAAGGACGGCCGGAGGTATGCAGATGAAGCTCGTTGCACCAGCCGAACGCTACACGTCTTCCCCCACATGGGAAGGTAGAAGAGAGCCGTACCCATATATGTGCTGATCCAAACTCATAGCAAGCCCAATGACACAAAGCCCTGACACAATGTCCTTCCTTGCCGACCATGTAGCAGTAATATAATACGTCGAGGGTCGTCCACGAGTCGAGGGAGGCGTTCGGCGGGGTTGGGTCGAGGGTGGTGAAGACAAAGGCGCCCTGGATGGATTTCTTTGTTGACGGCGGGATGTTCTCGCAAACGCAGGCAGCTAGACGGGAAGCTGTGAGACCTGTTGGGTAGTACACTTGAGCAGCAGCAGGGGATATGACAGCGTTGTGAGACGTCGTCGAGGCAAGTACCGAGCGAGGGCGTCAGCACAGCGTGGTCGTTGTGAAGAGGCACCCGTTGCTTGCTTTGGGTGACCAGGCACGGCGAAGGTTTCTCACGTACTAGGCAGCTGGTGGGGCCGGGGAAGCTGAAGCTGCAGTTGCAAAGGTAGTAGTTCGGCAAAGATGAAGAATTGATAGTCCCGATCGTGACCCGCAGCTGGCAGCAGCAGCAAGCACTCCGCAACACACTGGCAGCACCGCCTGAGCAGGACCCGGAATGCGGCTTAGGCCAAGTCTCCTGAGGGCTAGGAGGCGTCTAGCTCAGGTACCGAGCCCGCAGGTGCATGGGCCGGCGAGGGCGATATAGCGAGGCTGTCATAATTGGGTGGGCGTGGCAGGGAGGAAGCATGGAAGAGAGGCTCTTTGTCGTCGCCGCAGCCAGCCAGCCAGCACGCACAGCCAGGCGAAGGAAGCCGACGCCTCACCAGCCATGCGCCTAGCAGCGAATGGGGCCAAACATAACGATGAGCTAAGTCGCGAACGGACACGGAACGAACGACACCATGGCTTGGGTGATGCGTGCCGTAAGGATGAGATGGTTGAAAATGACAGGTCCGCGCGCTGAGGTCAACGCATACGTGCCGACGCTAAATCGTGTTTCTGGACCATCCACTCAACGCCCATCCAACCAGCGCTGTCTATCCAGGGCAACCTCCTGAGCCCTACCATCATCTATCCTGGATCTAATGGACAGATAACGCGAGCATTCCACCACCTCCCCTCCACCTCCCCTCCGCCTCCCCCACCCACCCATGATGCGTGCCGTAAGGATGAGATGGGTAGAAATGACAGGTCAACGAGGTCAATGCCTAGATGCCGACGCTAATCCGTCTTTCTGGCCCACCAACCAGCGCAGCCCTTCTCCATCAACCTCCTGAGCAAGCGTAAATCATCTACCGCTACCTCTATCAGCTACTATCTACAACATACTAGCACCCGTCCCTCCATCTCCATTCCATCAATCATGCAGCCTGACTACCTAAGTATGCACTCCTGAATCCTTAACCCCCACAGCCATTCCGGAATGTCTCCGCGCCGCATGCCGTTAAATAAGCAACCAAGAAAAAAAAGTGACTCGCGGTATGCCAGCTGGCAAATGATTAATCTAGCCGTCATCATGCCAGAAAAACCCACGTACCTGGATAAAAGCTGCCCGCTCCCGGCGAATCATGGTCCGAGGGACGCTCTAGATTTTTAGATTTTGTCTGCGGCAGGCAGGGCAGCGGAGAAGGGGCCACGATAGCACTTGCCGGATCCAACGTAGCTTCCCGACGAGGCATGCTTTTGGCCCCAAGTTGGATGCATGTACGTGACCTGCATGAAGATTG